AGTAGCCCTGCAGTAGCATTAACTGAATGAGAAGCATTTCCTTCACTATCTCCCTTACTGATAGTGTGGAAAGCACTGGATATGGAATACGATATAATTGATGTTTATTCAGAAGTTAACTTTCTCAACTCTTCTCTTCTTACCACATAATCTTATTATGTCTGAATTATTGGAAATTCTCAGATACAAAGATAATGATATGTCTGTACAAGTGCAAAGAATAGCTGCAGCAAGGTCATTGTAGGATTGGCACCTCATTTGAGAAATCAATAATTTTTAATCTTTATCTCATTAACTACCATAAGTCTATAAAATGCCATGCATGTTTTAAAATTCTGACCATGTAATTTGTTGGCTCATAACAAATAACCCAAACCTACAAAAGAAGACAAATAGCAAAGGTGATAGATCTTTCCTGCATGTACCAGGCTGTCAGTCACTTTTTCTGGTGCACTCATGCAAAAGCAAATTCTCCCCAAGTAAAATGATGGTTCAGAACAGCCCAAAGTGGATCACACAGTGGATCTAAACTGGCCTTAGTTGTCCCTAAAGAGGCTCTTGGACATAAAAGAGTTTGTTTCTGACTGATTTTGGTCCAGAAAAAGTCCAGCCATTTAAAAATTAAAAAAATAATCAGCCCCTGAAGATGTTTTCTTTTGATAAGCTTACCCATCTTTTGCTATTTCTTCCTTATAAACATCCCATTAAACTTGGTTGTGTTTAAGTTGAATCAGGATAGAGCTGCTTGAGTTCAGACTGACTGAACTCTGACCACTATGGGGCTGGGCAAGTAATAAATTTTAGCATTGTAAAAGTTAGTTTTCTTCTATGAAACAGTGTTTAAGAGGCACTATCATGTTAACATTTACATTAGCTCACTCTTTTTTTCTACTGGTTCAATTTTTCACTTTTCTTTTGATATTAACACCCCATGAGTAGTATTGCACTCCTCACTATAATGTACATCTGCTCCTCTCTATCACTAATAGCAGCTGAAATGACCAAATGATAGTTTTAAAAACTGTATTTCCTATGAACTATATATTGATTTGTATGTTGGGCTCTGGAAAATGACCACAAGGCAGTGAGTTTGTAGACTTTTGCTTTGCGTTTGTCATACCAACAGAAGCTGCTGCAGAAGTATGAGCCACTATGAAAGGTTATTCCTTAAAAGAAACCAGTTTATATCACAAACTAATTTAATAGTGTTATTGTTGCAAAATATGTTTTTCTGGTCTTATAATGGTTATACAATGATACAATGCTAGTGTTTAGAGTTCAAGCTGCCCTATGAGCTGTGTCTGTAGCACAAAGGACATTATGATGTCAGCAGGCACAAGTATATATCACCACTTCTTTCAATCTACTCTGCAAGAAACAAGGGCCACAGAAGCATCAATATGCATCTGCTGCCTGAGCACATCGCACAGTCCCACACAGGTTTCTCCAGCCAATATGTAGTTCATCTAATATAACACAGGCATCCAAAAGTCTATTATACAAGTCATCTGACGTGCCAGACAATAAACACTTCCAGAGGGTGATTCATCTTACTGGTCTAAGGTGCTTAACTCTCAAATGCATCATTTTGGTGAGATGAATCACACCTGCAGCTAGTACAGCTCTTTGTACACATGTCAGGTATACCAGAGCTCACACATCACGGAACAGGCTGCAGCCAGCTTCCAACTGCAGCAGAGATGCTCTGACTGCTCACCATCACCTCCCAGGACCGCCTGCTTGGGGCCCCCTCCCCCACTGAAAACACCTGTGCTTGCTTCAGTGAACCGTGTCTGAGCCACGCACTTCTTTCAGCCCAGGGTATTCTCACATTCTTGCAACATTTGCATTTTACCTGCTTTATGATTTAGATTTAAAGTTCACATCCCAATATGGACTAGATTATACACATAGGATTACAAGTTCTGCAAGACAAAGCGCTAGCTTTAAAGCTTTGCAATTAGGGTTGTGCATTTTGTTTTGTTTTTTTTTTTACTTAAAAATTGCACTATCAAGAAGTGTAGATCTATGTTAAAAGCCTTGTTTTAGTGCCAAGATGTTGGCAACAGATGAAAGGTTTCTTCTGTCCACAAAGTGTCTCACACTTGCTCTGGAGATATACCCTGCAGCTATATATACAGAGATACAGTGAATAATAACCTGGCTTTCATCTGCCTCTAAGGCTAAAGAACAGCAAAAATAACATGTAAGAAAAAAAGATATGCTAGGGGAACACTAAAAAACCAAAGAAGCTCAAGCTAGGTAGCCAGAGTTTTTGGGAAATTTGGTTTTGAGCAGCCTGCTTTCTGGTTACACCATGCCCTTTGAAATAATAAGCTTATGAAGTTCAAAACAGGCATCAAAACCCCAGCATTATCTGACTCCTAGAACAAATGTATTTAATACAGACAAAAGCTTGACTTTCCTGCTCACTCTCTGCTTGTTAGGAAAGATGGGAAAGAGCCTGCGACTTCAAAGGCATGCTAGCAGAAGAGAGAAAATAGAGGAAATAAGTGAAAGCAACAGATAAGGCAGTGAACATAAAATGAAATAGGTCTCTTGAATGCCTTAAAACACTTTTTCCACCCCACAATGTTCTCACTGCAGAAGCCCAGGCATTTTAATGGTGCAGCTACAAATGGGAGTCATATCTGTGGTTTGTATTTCTATCAAAGCTTAGAAAGTAACTTAGAAAGTGATTTTGAAAGTTTATTTACTCTGTTTCAGATTCTTCAGCTCTAACATGTGACACTCAATGCTCTGGTGCACTGAAGCATTCCAAATTACTAAATACTATAAACTTTTGAAGACAGTTCCAGACATCTGCAAACTTTCTACTTGTGAATTATTAGTTCCAAGGCTGGGTTTTAAAGTTTGTCTTGTGCATATGTTGGCCACCTGAAAATTTACAGGCAATGTATCCTTCCACCCCATGTGAATTGTGCGTAACAAACAGCATGCTAAAAGGACTGTTGCAGAAGAGATCTAGGAAGTCCTTGGGAGTTTCAGAGAGAGTTTTTGCAGTACAGAACTGGGGACCTTCTATTCCTGCTTGTATGTTTTTAATTCCATGAGCTAGATACCGGTTTAGTACTTTGACACACTTCCAGTAAGTCACACACATACAGTTTTAGAAATAGGTTCTGGTCTATCCTTTTATGCAATGGTAAAAGTCAAGGTAAAACCCTTTTTGCAGCAGAAAAGGATTGACTAAAGAATTAATTAGCTTATTAAAACCATAGCAGCATTGGTTCTAGAGTGGGTTAGGTAAAACAGAATCTAGACTAGAACTGGGATCAGGCTTCTGTTTCCAGCTTTGCCTTTGACATGATGATACAACACAATACAATACAATAAATAATAAAACAATATAATACAATGCAATAAAACAGGATTTCTTTTTGTTGTGCTGCATATGAGACGTGACACTGCATGGAAGACAAATGGAACTCTGCTCACGAAGTATCCAAGATCACTTGAATAGCATTAGCAATCTGACAGTATTAAAAATGTGACCTTTGCAAATAAAGCATTGGAGAGATTGCATATCTATGGATTTATTTAGTTTTGCTATGAAAAAGCCTAAAACAGGAATTCTGAGATATATCTTTATAAAATGCAAGTTATGGGTTCTCTTATCTTCTATAAATTCAAAGACATCTAGAGGGAGTATTTCTGAGAGGTGCCATAGAGAAATACCTCTTAGAAACCCTAAGTATATAATGGAATCTGCCAATTGACACTATGTTGTCTGGCATGTACTACTCCCTACATTAATTTCTTCCTGTTCTTCTTACTACCTTTTCTCTCATTTAGCAGGGATAAAAAGATACACAATTTAAGATTTTCCTTTACAGTCAGAAGACAGAGATGACTTGCTCTCAATGAGAGAGATTAGTATTAATTTGGTACAGTCATGTCATTGTTAGACTTTTAGAATGCAATGACTGTCCTAAACAAACCCATAACTGTGCATTGACACAATATTTTTGCACATGGTCTGTCATGTACAGACAAATTTTTTTTGGTGGATGAGGAAAGCAAAATTATGTCTTCCCTAAAACAGATGGTCAAGTACTGTGGTCTATTACCAGAAATTTTGGAAGGCCATGTGTTCTATAAATACAACTTTTTTGGTAAAAAACTTATAATTGATTTTGAGAAAAGAAGCTTCTCCTTCCTTTTCAATGAGAAAAACTCTATCGGCCAGTGATGAAGAAACAAACTGAACTAGCTTTTTAAAGTAAGTTTCCATTACTGATTACATCATATATGAGGGATTTAACAACATGGATCATAAATAAAGTTAACATCAATAAGAATAGGTACTTTAATCAGTGTTTAATTTTTTTGACCTTTGACTATTCCTACTGCCTTGTATTACAGCAGTAATTTGTCATATAAAATTTACTGCCATGAGAAGCCCATAATTTGTATATAGGTTTGTTTTGAAAGACATCAAGCCTACCTCAACTATCCATGTTTTCAGTCTCAGTTCACCCTTAGTCTAGACCATTTAATATCACAGTGTATAAGAGAAAAAAACCCACCAAAACAACTTTTTTTTTACATGTATCCATTGAAACATTGAAATGCTGTTGCTTTCACAGCTGATTTTTTTTTATTATTATTATTTTAAAACTAAAGTAAGTATAGACCAAAACTGAGTTTTCTTTGGGCCCTTAAGAAGGCTGTCATGTATCAACACGTATTAAAGCAAACAAACTAGAGGTCTTCCGGTGAGGAAAATCAATGTTTGGTCTGGCAAGGTGTTTTGGATGTAGAACCATGGTGAGCACAATTCGCTGTGAAACACTCCGGGCTGGGCTGGGTTTGGAGACAGCCCAGCCACCCTAACACTGATGCTCAGGGCAACACTGCCACTAGCAGCAGCTAAAGCTGTACACAGGCAGCCACGGTATTCCTGTACAACACACACTGGAAACAAAGCTATAAAATAGGCGACTTCACGGTGCAGACTGCAGTGTCTTACTTGCCCCATGGCTGACAAGGAAAGTGTTCGCTCACACCACAGGTTTGCACGGGCCATGGTGTTGCCGGGTCGCTTTGTGGGGTTCCAGCTCCCAGAGCCAAGCTGTAAGCACTGCGGGGAACCTCCTGAGGAGACACTATTGCCACAGCAGGAGGTTTCACTGGCAGGACATCTAGAGAAGAAGCTTAAATATCGGGTCTACCTCTTCCCGGAGCCGGCTGCAGAGCAGGTCTGCCCCAACGCGGCCCCCGTGAGGGAAGCGCTGCTGACGGCAGCCGTGGCCCAGCCAAAAGCACTCGGAGGATTTTTAAGGAAGAGGAAACAACAGCCACATGCCGGCCACAACCGGGCCGCTCACCGCGGTAAGAGGTCGAGAATACCTGTTCTGAAGGAGCCGTGCCCGGGCCCGCCCCGGGGCAGGAGAGGGCGAAGCCACTCCAGGGCGCGCCCTCCGTGGGCGGGAAGGCAGCGGGGACTCCTCCTCCTGCCCAGAGTATCGGTGTGCCATGGGGCTGGGAGCGGGCCGGGAGGCTTAGCCCCGCTCGGGCCGGGAGCCATGCCCGCGGGGAACGGCNGCTTCCCCACCGGCCCTTCCCCGCTTCCCCACCGGCCCGTCCCCGCTTCCCCACCGGCCCTTCCCCGCTTCCCCACCGGCCCGTCCCCGCTTCCCCACCGGCCCGTCCCCGCTTCCCGACCGGCCCGTCCCCGCTTCCCGGCCGGCCCAACCGCCGCAGCCCTGCCGTTCCCGCGGGGCAGTCCGGCCTGGGGTGTTCACTCGCCGCCCTGGCCGGGGGGATGGGGCAGGTACTCTTTGGTAAAAAAAAGAGCGACAGTGCTGGAGAAAACGATCCGAATCAAAAAAAGAAATCATTCTAGAATCAGTTTTTCGACCTCCCACCTTTGCCTGTGTAAGGTGTAATGGGACATTTAGGGGAAGGGGTGGCAGCGCTGTTAGAAGAGGTCTCGAGTTGACCAAGTGATGTGCAGAATTCATGAGCAAAAACGACTGTATTTTATAGGAGGAAGTGCTGCATTCTGTGGATAAGAAACACGTCTGACTCTGGGTGTAGGGTCAGCAGTATTCGCCTCTGTGGAACAGGTGGAAAGCTGCTCCCCAGCAGCCTTCTCAGGCTTGAGACTTGTCTTGACTTATAAACAATAGAGCTACGCAGTGTGTGGAAGTGCCTTGGATTTCCTTATCCATATATGAAATTTGGGTATCATCTTTCAGTCATAACGGTGTCACAGTTGGGCTTTGGGAAACCACTGTTTCCTGTGAAATTTTAGCACTGCAGAAGGAGTACTTACGCCATTTCTATTTTCAAAACCTGTAGGCTCTTCACTGCTTTCCTTCCTGAAATGAATACATAGCCATTGCAGAAGTCTGCAGAAGAATAGGTTGCAGTCCAGCTGAGTACATGCAGCCTCTTAAAAGGAACATTGCTTTTTCTTCACCACTAAAGGATGCTGCAAAAGAAGAGATTTGTGTTTCTAACTTTGAAAGTAAACATGGCTAACAGTAACAAAATCTAAAGCTCATATTAGATACTTCTTCTGGCAGAGATGTATAAATTAGAGGTGGATCACAGTGCACCCACTGGACATGTATACGCTGTAAATTGACTCTAAGGTGACACATTAAAGTCTTCAATAAGCTTTGTAGCTTTCCTGCATACATAACCTTTGTTTCACATGGCTCTGTGGTCTGCATTTTGTGGTCTGCTGTGCAAAGGTGCATGGTTGCTCATGCTTGATTTGACTACTCCTGCATAGTGCAGCAAAAATTTCATGTCTTGAAAGTTATGGTGGATGCAGGATGTAGTTAATCATTTGTGCAGTGTTTGTTACCAGACAGTTTCTGCAGTGCACTGCTCTCGATGTTTGTATGGCTGTTGGTTTCAGAGAAAGTACTAGAGAACCTCGCTGGCATAAGATTGTCTCCATCGCTCAGCCTGTTCAAATTCTTGAGAAACTCAAGTACTTGTCTGCCAAACAGATGCTGCCAGAAAACTGAATGTTAGTCTTACACAGGGGATGTAAAGTACAGTTCTGTCCCTACCTTTATCTCATATATATTACACTTATTATTTTTGATGGAGGCATTTTCCAAATAAGTTCAAAAAATAAGATACACATTAAGGGTAAAAAAACAGACTATAATAATCTCTTACCATCCTCTGAAATAGTAGAAATAGAAACAAAGAGGTATATAAATTGGCAAGGAAATTGCTTGACCACATGTGACTTTTAATTTCTGTTTATTTTGAGGTGTGCTACATAATTTATTATTATAAATATATTTAGTGTTGAGGCTTTCCTGCATCCCTCTATATAAGAATTTTTCTCTTCAAAGAAACGTAGGCAAATTCATGGGCCTTGTCTAGAGAGCAGTCAGGTTAGCATCTGTGGTTTGTAAAATTACATCTTCCTGTGGCTGGTCATGCTATGTTCTTCTTCCATAATGTGCTTCATTGGGAAGAATTCTTTTATTGTTGTTATTAGAAAAGTGAATGTTTATGTGTAGTTGATCATATGGAAGTGGAGAGTAAATGCACAATTTAATGTTCAGGAGTGATGCCTTAGTTTACTTTTCTCAGCTGCCATGTAAAGCAATATAAAATATTTAACTTGGCAATCATAATTGAATGCTAATCTGGTAAAGTGATGTCTAATTATAACCTCCACAGTATTGTTTCCATGTTCTCATCTAGAAACAGAAGGATTGTTCTTTCCTGTTTTTGAAGATAAGTGGTTCTACACCTGCATAGGAAAGCAAGGGCATGTCAGTGGTGAGGAAAAGAAAAATATAAATGATGCCCCACAGGTAGCATCATACACTCTGTTTGCCATCTGTATTATTGCTAACATGGCTTCTATTTTCATTTTGCAATGTGTTTATGGAGAAAAAAGATAAGTAATTTGAAGGGTTTTTGTTTGTTTGTTCCTGTTTGGTAATGTTTTGTTTTTGTTTGGGGTTAGGTATTATTTTGGTTAGATTTTGTCTGGGTTTTTTGTTTGTTTGTTTTTTTGTTTGTTTTTTTCTCTTTTGTTTGAGAGTTTTTTGGTGTGTTTTCCCCCTGGTTTTTATTTGGGAGGGTTTTTTTTTTTTGTTTGTTTGTTTTTTCACCTGGTAGTGGTGAAGACACTGCTTAAAGATTTAATTCAGAGCAACCAGGTATTATATTTATAAATATACTTCTCTTGTATATAACAGCCCAAGTCACCTGTTAGCTTGAGGTGATGCTGGTAGGGAAAGTAATGTAAAGGAAGTCTTACATGAGTGTTACTTAAAAGTGCTTCTGAAAGCATAACACTCTCCCCAGGAACTTCTGGGAATACAAAGTACTTTCATTGAGCAGAAGATATACAAAACTGACAGCTTTGAAAGGTGAAATTCTCATTAACTAAGGAGAGTACTTACAGCTTTGCAGTGTTCAATTGCTCAGTAAGCCACAATGACATAATAAAGATGTTTCTAGAATAAAATGGTGGTAGCTCACATACCAGGAATGTGGAGTCTATTAAACTATAACAGATCACATGAAGTTACTTTAGAGGTGTGGATATATCCTAGGATTGGACCCAGTCTGGCTCATTTTAGATGAGGTGACCACAACCTCTTTACAGCTTTGTGATTTCATTCTCGGGTTTGATCTTGGACATTGCTGCCTGAGCTTTCTGTGCCAGCCTTTCAGGTCTGAAGGCTGTTCAGTCTTACTTTCCATCCTTACACATACTTTTTAATTGGAAGAACAGCCCCTAAGGCCCAATATGTGGTGTAGTTTGTTCTCTGCATGTGTTGACTTATAAATGAGAGGTTTTCCTGATAGTAAACAAGTTCGGGACAATTATTAAATCTGCTTTTTGTTTTTGGTTTTTTTTTTTTTTGTTTGTTTTTTTAAAAATAGGATTTTCACTTTAAATTTAGAGCTAATCCTCAATAAATTTTAAAAATCAGATTCTTCCTAATTACTGCAGTTAATCAGGAATCACGTTGAAAATCATGATTCAGCAGCTTTATTTTAAATTTTCACGTGTTCTTACAAGGTTTTTCCTCATACAGTTCTGAAAGCCAAGATCAAGGTATTTCTGTGATCTTCTTAAGGATTTCAGTATGATTAAATACATAGGTGGCATTTATGCTTAAAATAAACTGGCAGCATCTGTATTTTCAGAAGCCTTCATTACATAATAATGGTAACTTCTTTCACCCCTCACAGATAGGAGGGCACTCTCTACACTTCTAATAATTCCGTGTTGTAGAATTGAGCATTTTCTTTGCAAGAGTGCTTCCCGTTTTGCCAGCCAGTTGGAGGCATGTTAAGAATTTAGACACTGTCAGCAGATGTTCACAGTCTGAAACTTTTAAGTTGAGAGGATGGCACAGCAGAACTACAGGTTGACTGTCTAGGAATAAATGTCTGGTTTTTGTGTTCCTCACGAAAGTCTACTTCTGCATTATCATAACTTTATTGTGAGACAAGCCCATATAGTAACATCTGCTCTTGAGTTGCATTGCACAGCTCAGAACCTGATGTTTGTGCTACTGCCTATGTTTTCTGTGACTTGAAAGATTTTCATTGAGCCTTTAGAAGGTGCAGAGACCTCCTTGCTACAGTGCAAAACTGATCATTTTGACTACTGAACACCTGTCCTCATCACACAAATAAGAGTCCCTATTTTCTTTTACTCATTAGAGTCTGAAGTCAAGGTACAGTTTAGGTACATGTCTTCATAGCAGAGGCTGCAAGAAGGGCTTTTTTTTCCTCTATTACAAAGCTATTCTTAGCACCTCATATTTTAGTGTAGGGAAAACGACATAAATGATTACCTGACAAGACTTAGTCTAAGCTTTTGTGACGTAGTTGTCTGTTTTAGACGCTAATCCCCACTTAATTTTGTTTCACTGAGTTCCAGTATTTATGTTGTTACAGGCAGTGTATTCTGGTGTGATATGGTAGCTGCACATCAATTAAGTGATGTATTTATACCATGAGGTGTTCAGTCAGCTCTATGCTGGCCCTACTGCATCTGCTACCCTCTCTTTATGCAAAAAGCTTCTAACTCTTTCCCTGTCTGTAGTCAACTAAGCCGTAAGTAGTAGAGATCTGTGTAATCTCTTTATCTGATTTAACAATACAACTCTCATGTGGGAGGTGTGCTGTCTATTACTGACAGCATAGCTTTTTGGTTAGGATTTCTAGAGAGGAAACCTGACAGCTAAACATACCCAAAAGTCTTGGTTAGCAGACACAGATAATTTCTTTCTTCAGGTGAGGGGGTAGTTGTGAAATACAGGGTCAGGGTGTCACGATCTTTGTGTGTATCTGCTGGGTTCTCAAAGATATTCAAGGGGTTTTATTGAATGACGGTGACTGTCAGAACTTGGTGTGCACAAGAGAAATTTGTGTGCTGCTCACCCCCAGGCAGTGGATGTCTGCTTTAATGCCTTCTGTACATAGAGATGGGCCCTGAGGGTTCTTGAGGGTAAGCTAGTTTATCATGTGGAGCATACACACATAACCCCTCAAACATAAATCACTTCAGCTAAAAGCAATGGCAGCTAAACCATTGGCCAGTACTGGTGTTCTAATACCTTCTAAGTTTAATTGTGCAAAGGAAGAAAGGAGTTTAAGAATGGTCTTGAGAAACATGGACCAAAACTGTTTGTCTGAGGCAGTGTCTTGACAGATGATTGCATGGTCAGGTTGTACTCTGGGGTAGGCTTTATATCATTAAACCTTGTTTGCGATTGAAAGGCTGCTCTTCCTGAAGTGTGATTAGAGACCTCTGTCTTTCCTAAC